AATCTCCGCCTCCTGGGTTCAAGCAATTCTCCTGCCTCAGCCTCCCAAGTAGCTGGAATTACAGGCACCTACTACTATGCCCAGTGAATTTTTGTATTTTTAGTAGAGATGAGTTTCACCATGTTGGTCAGGCTGGGCTCAAACTCCTGACCTCAGGTGATCCACCCGCCTCGGCCTCCCAAAGTGCTGGGATTATAGGCGGTGGCGCCTGGCCCACTTCTTATTTCTTTGTCTTCTCCTCCAGTATTGGTTTATTTGCTGTCATGTCTCAAACCCTCACTTACCTTGGCTCTAACACCATCCATCCATCCAGAGGGCTAAGCAACCTGGGTTAATGATGAAATCATGTGTAGTAGAAAGAGACTGGACTGGAAATCAGGGAACTCAGGTTTCTGTACTAGCCTGGGCCACTGCCTATGTGGATGCAGGAAAGTTACTTAACCTCTCTGTGCATCTGATCCTGCCTCTTTAAAATGAGGCGGTTAATCCAGACAAACCTTAAGGTCACCTGGAGTTGTGATGGTCTATGTGGAGAAACACGGCCCTCAGAGCTGCACGAGATGTTCCAGATGTGGTTTAAACAGTAGAGCATACTGGAAACACAGCCTCACAATGGCTACCATTTCAAACGGGCTTGTGGGACAAGAGACAGAAGAAGCTGAACGTTTCCAGCAGGTGGGAACCATGACTTTGGGAAGGTCACAGCAGGAAGTGACTCAATAATTCCTGATCTCTCAGTCTTCCTGGGCTTAGAGGACACAGAGGTGGTAGGAAGGCTGTGAAGAGATTACCCAGAGGTGGGGTGGGGAAGGAGATACACTCTTGAGCCTGCTTCGGATGCTTTCTTCCTGGCATTAAAAATAGCAGGTGTGGTTTTAGCAGAAGGTGTAAAGAGTCATGCCCAGACCCCAGGCTCCAGCAATGCAGAACAGGTCTCCATGTTGGGGACACAGAAGACTCTGTCTGCAAAATTGACTCTGGTCTCTAAGCCAGCACCATAGAGGCTCAGAGGGGATGTCACACACCAGCTATCAGTGAAATAAGGGAGACACAATCCCAGGAAAACTAAAACCAGCAGCCCCCAAGGCCCGCACCGTCGCAGCAAAGGGCACACCCGGGAATGCCTGCACGTGATTCTGCTAAGCTACTAAGAACAGGAATTCAGACTCACAGAAGGCATGAAAGAAGAGGGTCGTAAGCCTCAAAAGGTCAAAGAAAGAGCTCAAAATCCAGTCAGTAAGAAAGCAGGATTAAAGGTCAAAGGTCTACGTCAGATATTCCAGGGGCTGTGATGGGAAGATCCACTAGCAACAAGCTCGAGGGGACATTCCTGCCCGGAAGCAGACTAAACCAGACGTGTTTACCCAGGTCTCCTGGCAGGACGAGAGCTCTAAAATGGCATTAGACAAAACCAACTGGATTGGGAGCTTAGAATCCTAATAACAAAACACAGGAACTCAGGGGCCCTGGAGCACCACTTCCCTCCATTCCGTACAAGGCTACTGCTTTTAATGTTGACATGCAATTGTGTTTTCTTTCCATGAGCACAAACTCTATGGCATTCTAAGTGGGTGGGACTACAGGATTTTACCTATGTCCTGTTTAATGAATAAATACCTACCCCAAAATGCTGGATGGTGTCTGTTTTGTTGATCTCTCTCCTTTAAAAAAAAGTCAAGAATGTATAAAGGGCTTTTCCCCTATAGGAGGTGGTAGGTTAAGAGCCCAAATTCAAAGAGCAAAGTAATAAGACTCCTGCTAAATCCCCCTCACAAATACATAAAATGTTAACAGATCAAGGGGTGTTCAGCATACCAGCACCCCGGTCATAAAAACCATCTTTAATGTCATTGTCTGAGGAAGGCCAGCAATGAGATAAGAAACCCCGACAAACAGACACAAGGAGATGTGGCCTGGATAAGCCTGTCTGCGCCAGGTTTGACTATGCAGGAAGCAGGGGCTCTAGCTGAGTGCTTGGTTTAGGGTGACATTTAGCAAAGCAAAAGGAATCTGTCTCTTCCCACCAGCCCCCTCAGCCCCCTTGTTTTCCCACACTAGAAAACCAAACTCTCGGAGGACTTCTCTCTTCTGTGTGTTGGACAAATGGGAAAATCACAGGGCTTGGTCCAGTTTTCATAGCAACGTGGAGCTGGACAAGCCGACTGACAGCTGGCAGGCAACCTTCAACCACAGCACCGAGGAACGAAGGCTTAAGCCTCAGTGCTGTCCCTGCACAGTGCCACATCTCCAGCAGCAGATAAGGGCACCCTGAGCTGTCGGAATATCAGACACAGCCTCCCAGTTAAAGGTGGGCAGAAAGCAACTATCACGATCTTTCAACAGGAGGGAAAGCTGATTTGGAATCCTCAAAGGGCTTTCTACTCCTCTCTCCCGCTGTGGGCAGCCCTGAGTCCACTCAACCCCTTGTCTGTCCCCTTTTTATCTCAGAGCTTGGCCAAAGCTGCGTGTGCAACTGCTGCTCAGTCACTCACACTTCCAGCAAGCCACCCTTCCATCCTCCCAAATCACAGAATTCAATTACTTCGGCTTGTGAGGTGAAAGCACTTTGCGGATTTTATTTTAAGGTTCATTCAAATAAACACTACCATCAGTATCACTATTACTAACACATCATTAGCCACAAAGCTCTTCAATACTATAGAGGTAGAGGATGACTAGGTAATTCATATTCCACCAAAGTCTTTCAACTGGCCAAAAACAGTCCATAAAATACTCTCCAGCCATTCCTCAGCTCCCCATAAAATCAGTCACGTCTCCCATGCCAGAAAGCATCGGTGCTTTTGATGTGAATGCCAGAGAATTCTTGGTTTTCCTAATGCATGGTTTTGACCACAGTCTAGTTTCTCTCAGACCCAGATCCAGTTCTTCCGGGGGTTTAGAAGGGCCATTTGCAAGGTGAATTTAGTAACGGACGTTTTAAACAATGACACAAAAATGCCTCCCTGCTAGAATAAGGAACTATCAGATCTCACACAAGCTCAGTGTGGGGCCCCTTGAAGACAAGACCTCCACACCTCGTTTTTCTCTAGGTGCAAGTCTCTCCAACCCAACCATCCCCTTCCACATACACACGTACGCACAGCAAGACCTCCCCAGCACAAGACCTGGCTCACTGAGTGCTTTCTTCTTTAATTCTAGTTAATTAATTTTTGTTTTAAAGCATAGCCCCCTTTTCACTTCAATAGCTAAGAGAAGTCTGCGGGTAACTTCAAAGACATCAACTTACAAAAAGAACTTCCATAACAGAGCGATCTCATACTATGGATCGCTGAGGGGTTACTTCTGACACGAAAACACATGGCTTATAAAACAATCATTTCGTTCTCTGCATAATTAAATAAACTCTAAAAAGTCATCCCCATGCCTGAAGAGATTTTAGTTCTTTATTCCTGGCATATATTAAATTTATAAGGGTTTGCTTTTGGTTTTTAAAAGTTTCTAAGAGTTCTCGTACCTACTACTACTTTGCAAAGATAATAGCCACAAATCACAGGACAAAGAGAAGGAATATATTGCTGAGGGTCAAAATTTCTTGCTTTTCCAAGTGAAAATGTCAAACCTTCTAATAAGAGCGTAAGTAACAACCGATTGAGAACAAGTTGTCCTCTTCCTTTCTCCTACTGATTCAATGAATAATTTTATTTCTTGCAACATTATGGCTGAAACTTATTTACATTTTAGCCAAAGTAAGAACTTGTACACAATTTTCTTTTTCTAATAATTCTTTTCTGCTCGATTCAACGTCTTCTACATAAAGAAAACAGTTTCAAGTTCTGGTGCTAACACTAACTGTGCACAATAAAAGAAATACACAAATAAAAGCAATGTACATCTCCTACCTTCTAGAGCGGCAAGCTGCTGCTCAGCTTCCAGGTACAGCTGGGAAAAGATGGGCCTGGGCACCAGGTTGTTGGACCGCAGGGATGCCTCGATGGAATTGTGCAAGACCTCTTCAAAGCGTGTCGTCTTCAGCTGTCCAGCGTAAGAATTTCCCATCTTCAAGAGAATGGAGTCTTCTGTTTAAAATGGCATCTCAGATTCGGTGCAAAAGTCTGACTCCACGCAAGGTAGAAGGTGAAACAACTGCAAGGAGGAAGGGCCATGTAGCCTCCGCTCAGCAGAGACCGAGAGAGGGCGGCTGTCCTCAGCTGCAGCTACTGCCGGGCAATTACAGGAAGTTATATAAGTAACAGCTTTCTCTAATTTAGCACTCAGCAGAGCCTGACACCTCTTAGAATATTTCACTAGAGGTGCCTCTTTGCCATCCCCAGATTTCACAGGACTCCCACTTTTCCCAGAGATGTGGTCCTGCCCCTGAGAGTTCCCAGACGAATGATGTTTCATTTTCCATGACCTGCAGACGAATGGGCCCTCCGACACTCTTGTAAGTGACGGCAACTGAGCAATCCACCACGACCATTCCCAGATTTGAGGATTAGAGGAGCCGGCCTCCCCCCACCTTCCCGAAAGATAGGCTAGCAGGTCTCCCATCATTGTCTTTGCTGGTGAAAGGCTGATTATTCTCATTCTTCCTTTAAAATGTTTTTTAATCTACTAAATGTTTCCATGATTCAAGTAATACAGAATTAAATCTGGAAAACATGGAAATCACAGAGGAGTGGGAAAAGGAGGAAAAACACTGACATTTCTATCCCCCAAGAGATTTATTTTCTATCCCCCCAAAAATCACAGAGAATCACTGTGATTTTTTTTCTGCAGCAGCTTGAGATATAATTCACATACCTTACCACTTAAAGTAGACAACTCAATGGTTTTTCGTATATTCACAGTGTTTTGCAACTATCATACGATCAATTTCAGAACGCTTTCATCACCCCAAAAGGAAACCCCAGACCCATCACTCTGAAACCCTCCAACCTCTCCAGCTGGAGGCAATGATTAATTTGTTTTCTGTCTCTATAGATTTGCTCATTCTGGACACTTTGTATAAATGCAATCATTCAGTACGAGGTCTTTTGTGACTGGCTTCTAGCTAACGTTAGCACAACGTCTCCAAGATTCATCTGTTTAGCATGAATCAATACTTCCTTCCCACTCATGTATTTTGATGTATTGTTTTAGACTTAAATCTTTGCACAACTTGCAGGTGGGAAGGGATGGGAGATTGTATTCACATAATTATAATCATACTGCAATACACATTTTTATTGGTTTTTTCTTTTCCTTGACATAAGCATTTTGCTCAACCCTCTTGCAAATGGTTTTAGAATAATTTTAATGGTCGCTTCCCTTGAGTGAAAATGCTGATATTTGTTCCGACATTTCTCCCTGATTATACATATGGTTAAATTTCTATTTTCAGTCCTTCCCAAGAACAGGCATTTAAATGTGTATATGTCCTTAATGTTTTCCATTTACTTTCTATTTCATTATATTTAGCTATTTGTTATATTTCCGTTCTACTTCCTTTTGGTTTAACTTGTACTTTTTTCAAACTTTTCAAAACAGTTACTTTATTGTCATCTTTGTTTTTCATCTTCATTAACAACGAAGACATTTAAGGCTACATGTTATCCTCTGGGCACCTCCTTTGCTATGGTACAAGGTTTAGTGTGAAGTGTTCTCCTTTTCTTTTCTTTCTAGACAGTTTATCATTTCCCTCTGATTCCCTCTTTGATCCGTTAATTATACAGGAGTGTGTGTTTAATTTTTAAACAGTCAAGATGGCGACGGGGGGGGTGAGTTCAGCTTCATATTATTTACTTCCAGTTTTTAATAGATTATAATCGAGACTGTGGTCTTTAGAAACTCTACTTTTGAAACTTGTTAAGGGTTTCTTGTTGCCATATACCTGCTGGAGTTTTCCAGATATGAGAAAAGACATTTGTAAACTCTACAAGGGATGAAAGGAAATCGATCAGATTATTCAAACTGTTCTATATCCTTGTATGTCTCCTGTCTACTATCCTGTTCATCTTTAAAGTAGCATTTGACTTACAAAATGGCACCAGATGCCTGCACTGAAATGACCACAGAATGGCAGTTTCCTGCCTTCATCTACAATGACTGCACACACGCCCGTGTTGCGACTGGCTTCACCAGCCAGCAGAGATCTCCCATTCACTCTCACTCAAGCCATGTGTAATAAATTCCCCTCGTCCTTGTTCTGTTGGTGGCAGAGTAGCTTCAAGATGTCATCCTTGGTGCCCTGAAAGAGCTCTGCTTTCCCTCCGGAAGGTATAATAACTGGTATAGTCACGTTGATTTCCTGCCCCTATTGTAAGGAAGATTCAGCCTTTCCTCTTCCAACTAAAAGTAAATGGAAGGCATTAACCACTTCCTGCTTGTGGCAATAAGTTCTGACCGCAGGGCCCCTTGGTCAGCCTCTGCTTATAGCCTGGGGAAATGAGCTGTGGGAGGATTGCTTCAGGAATTAGCCCCAACAAAAAGAAAGTGCTCCTGAAAGAGAGAGGTCAGCAGCCGGAGTAACCTAACAAGACAGCGGAAGAGGCTGCAGGGTCCTCTCGTCTGCCTTTTTTCTTGATCTGTTGCAGACTTTAATATGTGACTGAGGGGTTGCCAGCCACATTTGGGGACACCTGCATTATTCTCAACTCAGGGTGGTATGTTTAAAGCTGCCACCAACTAATAACATCCCAAATGCCCTCTATTTCCATAGCATCTTTGTCTACAGAGCTTAAGGCACACAGGAAGAAGTTTTAAGTCGGACTCATTTTATATGCAGCCCCTGCAGAACCGTGTCCCCTGACAGAACGAACACATCGGGGCATCCAGACCCTCCCTGCCCAAGGTCCTGTTCAGCTGACCTCACAGCTGACTGGCACCCAGGAGACCCCAGCAGCGGAGGGACATGTAGGCCTGATGTAGATGGGGCAATAAAAACGAAGAAGGAAAAGTAATATCCATTGTCCAGCCACTGCGTGCGAGACACTGGGCACGCTCCCTACTTCACACACATGGTAGCCCACGGAAGAGATATGATGAAGCCCATTTTATAAATGATACGTTTGAATCTAGAGATACATAGCCTGCAGAAACGCTTGCTGAAAAAAAAAAATAGAATGGGGAAGAGAAAGATGGAGAAAGAGAGAGAGAAGCAAAAAACAACATGGCATAGAAAAGTGGGGTTTTCGTTTGTTTGTTTTTTGAGACAGGATCTCACTCTGTTGCCCAGGCTGGAGTGAGTGCAGTGGCACGATCTCGATTCTGCAACCTCTTATCCTCCCACCTCAGCCTCCCCAAGTGGCTGGCACTACAGGAACATGCCACCACGCTCAGCTAATTTTCGCATTCTTTGTAGAGACGGGGTTTCGCCACGTTGCCCAGGCTGGTCTCGAACTCCTGGGCTCAAGAGAGCTCCCAAAGTGCTGGGACCACAGGCATGAGACACCATGCCCGCCCAGTAAAGTTTTCACACTCACAAAATTAAACCTTTATTTTACAGCCCTAAACAAACATCAAAGTTTTAATGTCTGTAAATAAATAGTGAACAAAAAAATGAATACCACTCCCTATCTAATGATGCATTTGACATCAGAACAGTAAGTACATACCACTAAAGAAGAATGAGGAGGCATTGCAACAGTATTAAAATTTGTGGTTCTTTTTGTTATTCCATTGTGGCCACAACCAAACAGTGTGGGGACTCTCTAGATACCATGGCAGGGCCCTACCTTACAGACAGGCCCTGACTGCAAAGCCACACCTGCTGGGTGAGGAAGGTTCGGGCCAGACCAGGCCTGTCATGGAGGCACATCCGGAGCTCTTTGACCCACTGGAATCTTGCATTTGACCAGTGGAGAACTAAAGACCCAGAAAGAGAAGAGCCTAGTTCAGGGTCAAACACTAAAGCTTCAATCCTCCCAAACGCCACATGGACACAACACCTACAAAAGGCTTCCTTGGGATGGTCCTTCTTTCCCTGGCCTGGCCCTGACCGCTGGCTGTCTGTCCATGGTCTCTTTGCTAGACCCCTGCTGCAGTTATTCAAGTCTGCAAACTGCCTGTGGGATTTCTTCCATGCCCTAACACATCACATCTACCGCCTGCATTCCAAGGCCTGGACCAGTTTCTCTTAAGGCTGGTGTGTGATGCTCTTCAACTACAGAATCTGAAGCAGTGCCCATCAGGGCAGTGATGATGGCCAAACCACAGCCTTCACCTTAATGCAGAAAAGCCTGGCTGTACTAGTCTGTAAAGAGCAGGTGCAACTCGGCGCAAAGTGATTTAATCACCAGGCCTTGGTATTCTCATCTGTAAAATGGGCACTTAGAAAAATTGATTGTTCGTTATGGAGAGTAAGAGAGACACAGTATATTCAGTGCATGATCACTAATTTCTAGTTAAAACTGGGCACTCACAGGAAAAGAACTTCAGATTATAAATGACAAGTGACAAAAAAAAAGCACTATTGTCCATAAGTACTACAACTTAAAAGTGGAGAGAAATCAGTGAGAACTTGTGTTGTCAATGGGGCTGGTACCGGAAGCAGGCCAGGAGGGTTGAGTAGGATATTTTTGGAAAAAAACTAAGAACAGCATTTGAGGAAAGGACAGGAGAGTGCAAAGGCATGAAAACTCCAAGGGAACAGACATACTCTAGAAAAAGAAAGAAGTTCATTTGCCTAAGAGTAAATGGTTTACAAGATGACATAGTGATAGAATAACAAAAACAAACCCAAGGGTGAAAATCAGACATTGTATAGGTGACAGTCACTCCCTGGAGCCGCAGAGCTAGAGACTGATGATAGTAAAGAAAATGCCTGTCAATCAGACAGAAATGATTGGGATAAAACTGGAGGGAAGACATGCAGGCAGGAGGCTGGGCGGATACTCTTTCAATAGGACCTTTGATAAGAGTGAGGCGCAAAAAGTTGCCTGGAAATTCTGTACATGGAGATGCAACTGGTTGCCTGGTGGGCTTCATGGGAGGTGACCAGATGTCGGTATGTTTCACCAAATCAACTTCAAACAGCTCCATGTCAGTTCGAAGCCCAGCACCAGTACCTAACTTCCACTGGCCCTTCTGATCCCAGAAGCACTCACGGGCTTGACCAGATGAAGCCAACTGACCCAGGTCAGTTTGAAGTGGCAACGGTGAGCTATCTCAACATGCTCCAGATGGCTGGGACATTGACCTGAGCTATTCTTCTCCCATGGTACTGGTAAATCTGTGTCCTTTAGAGGACTCGGGTAGAATGAGAATTTTTAGGTTGAGTTGAAGTTCAACTACAATAAGTGCAGGGCAGAAGCTTCAAGGAAGATAAGCAACTATTAAAGGCAGGGACAAAGAAAGGAGA